TGGGATATAGTCTACCTATATATACGAGCAACATTTACTCAAGTCAACCGAGAATTACAGTCTATTTAAATCTTTATGTTATTTTTTTTCAATTTTTGATTTTGTTGTGTATATTCCTACCAAAGTTTATAAAAGTCTTTCTTTAGCGAAAATATTGATTTATATGTGAACTTATTAGAAAATCTAAAAATGAAATGAAATATGCAAAAGAAAGAGCCTGTTGGTTGAATTTAATTCTATCTCTACTTAAAACGTAAAGTGAACGCCTAATTCCAGCAACGAGGTCCATAAGACATACAGAAAATAAAAAAATGGCTGAAAAGCAAGCACAGAAACACACATAAACAAACAAAAAGGACAACGCTAGGGATATCACCATGAGATAGTAAAATAAGAAGATAGATTTTAAAACAGATTAAATCAAGAGCTGACAAAAATAGAGAAAACATTTAAAAAAAAAAGTCTATATCTCTATATATTTCTGAGATGAAATATTGTAATTATTTACATTATTCGGACTGAAAAAAGCAGGAGGTAGGCCGGAGCGTAGAACGGCCGAAACGTCGTGTATATGACACTAAAGATGAGGACAACAGTCCGAGCATTGTAAATAATGCAAATAATTACAAAAGTAGTTAACAGATGCAGAAACAATTGCTCAATAGTTTTGCAAACAATAGTAGGAAAGAACAGAGAGAAAATGTAATGTTTAGATAAAGACATATACCTCGATAAAATAGCCCCAATAACGGCCATGATCGTCATGTAAACAGTTATAAAAGGTCGTTGTCCGGCAGCAGACTAACAATCACTACTACTACTACGACCGCTGACAAATGGAAAATGCCTCACACCATAGCAAAGATATGAATGAAATTCGATAGCCGTAGCTGTTCGGCGATGGTGTCGTGGCACGGCGTCAGAAGTCATCGTGAACGACGATTTGAGGATACGGACCTTGTTCAAGCCTATTATCACGCAAGGACCACGCCATGCTTACAAACAAACTACCGCCATTCCGTCCGTATTGAATTCCGTGAGAAGTTAGTTCAACTCTAAAAGATTCTTACCGCGAGCCACCTCTCCGTGGAATCGACTCCTAAGAGGACGTTTCCCCGATCTTAATCTTAAGCTCTTCAAATCTAGAGTTAACCGTTATTTTCCACTTCTATCTGGGCACCTCGAGGCGGTGCAATGTTTAGCACGCCTGTCTCGCTAGAACAATTACGACTGAGTAGGGAGTTCGATCCTCTTGTGCCACATCTAAGCTACGCGTGGAAAATCAATATGGACACCTCGAAGTGATGTAATTTTTAGCAAGCTAGTCACGCTAGAACAATTACGACTTAGTAGTGACTTCGATCCAAACTGGTTGCCCCCTACTTTAGGCCTTGTGCCACAGCTAAGCTGCGCGTGGAAAATCACTATATGGACACCTCGAGGTGATGTAATGGTTAGCAAGCTTATCTCGCTAGAACAATTACGACTTAGTAGTGAGTTCGGTCCTCACTAGGTGCCCCCTACATTCGGGCCTTGTGCCACATGTAAGCTACGCTTGGAAAATCACTATCTTCGACTCCTATCTGCACAAATTGCGTCCTGACTTAACCCTCTACCTCGAGTGGTCCCCGGGCCTTGTAAAGAGCAAATTTTTTTCCGTAAGAAAGAAAGAAAACTAAAGCCCTTCGTAATGTGTGAGCTATTATTATTATTATTATTATTATTTCTGTGCAGGTGACAATATAATTTTATGTACATTTGCATGTGCATCTGTGAAACTATGGTCACTTATAATGTAGGCTATTGGTTCTTCCAAATTTTGTAAATAGAGTTAATCACATTTGTATTCATGATAATGACAACCATGTGAACTAATCTTTTTTTTTTGTTGTTGTTGTACTAAGGACGTTCATATTACATCTTAATCTTCCGAACGGTAAGTGATTCATGAACGGAACTGTTTACGCAAAAGCATCTGATACAACGTTTAAACAAATTAGCTCTTTATCAGCTATCAACCCCCTACTGTTTCCGTTGCCCAGGGTGAGTAATATGCGACTGTTTATTTGAAATTCCTGCAAACAAGGCCAATTAATATAAGCCCGACTTTCAAAATCCGATGCCGCTTCTCCCAACCCCGATTCATCTTTCCTCTTCTTCTTTATTTTCTTGCACTTTCTCTCCTCAGTGTGTCTCTTCGGTAACGTCTCTCTTTTCTACACATTTGCAAGCGGTGGCGTCTTATGCATTACACATTATTACTCCAACCCAATCATTCTCTGACACGTTCTTCACTCTTCTTTCCTTCACATGTCAATTCCGATCTATTCTTTCTCGTTCCCAACGCGTCTCTACGCCATCATTTCACGTGCTTTCTTTAACATTTCTATTTCTGTTATTTCTTTCTACTCCTTGTCCAGCTTTCTTTCAGTCAACAATCTTATTCCTAGTTTTTTTCCCATACGTCTTTTTCTCTCTCTCTCTCTCTCTCTCTCTCTCT